GTATTTTGAAGGCCAAAGTTTGCCTACACCTGGACTAGATGCACCACCTGTCTCCTCTGCTAGGTCTCTTGCAACATATGAGACTTTCTGCAACCAGACCTCTGGTCCTTCTAACCTAGCATTATTTCCACAGCAATCCAAGGTTACGGGCAGCAATTTCCCCCCAGGATTTGCCTGGGATTGAACCTGAATAATTGGTTCAACAATTTGGCCACAACTCCCTCCTTCTGTCGGTATCAGTGAGTTCTGCGCCTCCGTCTTACCAGCCATCTTAATGCTCTGCGGGATGACTTCGAAGCGGACCACCCGGAAGGTGGGCTCCTGGTTCTCCTCTGTCTCTTCTCTGTGGTAGTAAAGGATGAAGGAGAGGTGGTTGTGCAGGTAGAACTGAAACAGATGGACACAAGGAGGCGTTAGAGGCTCTGACCAGGACAATGAGCGACACTTCACAATGCAAACAACTTGGGAAAACAACTCAATCTGATGCTCAAATACACCAGGCTGTGATAGGAAGGCACCATGTGAACTATTTCTATGGCTTGCTAATTAGGAATCCTAGGGTTAGGATACATATCATATGCCAAGACTTCCAAGGGACCCCAGCAAACATCAATCGAGGATGCAACCATTTTGCATCTGGCAAGAGAAACATGGCCAGACCACTCTCCTTGGGCATTGAGTCACTATTTTGTGTACATAAGGCTGCAAGATACTCCACAGTAGATCTGTGTGCTGGTACATCTGTACCAGGAGCTCCAATTTTGTTTGCTTTGCATTGAATGTTTGTTGCAGTCCTAAGTTTCAGGGACTCTGCAGATAGGTGGCTTCTTTTGGCTGCAATCATAGGGCAAGCCACCTGTCAATTATAGTTAGGTTCCCTGGTCCCACCCCTTTTTGGGTTTTTGGAGGGAATAGGAGCCATTTTGGGTCAGTCCACACAGAGAAGCCTTTCGCACAGGACATAATACCAAGAGGTCCTGTAGAAAGCTTCGTCTTCTACAGCTTGGCCGGGGTTATACAGTCCACAGCTTGGCCGAGGATCATACAGCCTTACAGCTCCTTTGCTGAGGGACTTCAGCCAGCCATCACCAAAACCTGAACTCCTTTTTCCCTGGAAGTCTACAAAGCTCTGCTTGGTAAGGGTCACTCGCGGAAGCCAGAAGCAGTTGGTACCGGGTGCAGGGGCTCCACGCCAACAGAGGCAAAGAAAGACTGCCCAGATTAGAAGTTAAGGATTTCCCCATTAGTTAAAATACCAGTCATGAAGATAGTGCCTGTTCCCTGTGGACAAGATTGAAAGAGCCAATAGACTGTTAAGAAAGCCTTAAAGTACCTGTTTGTTTTCATTAATAAAGAACTTTGTTGAACCTTTAAGCAATCTAAAGACTTTGTTTTGGGGAGGTCCAAGGGCCTTTAATCTGAGGCAGCCCCGGCGTCCCGTTGGGCACACAGAATTCATGTCCTGTCTACAGTCTTATGCACAGGCCCAGCGTGCGACAGCACAATCTGTCATGAGTGGTTTGAATGAAACTGTATGATTGGGGTCTGGCTAAAGGCCTATTAAGGCTTGCCAAGGCTGCATCCTCAGAAATGTGGAACCTAGAAAACTGCATTATGGAAAAACAAAGGAGGTGATGAAAAGTGCTGATGAAGAAAAACTGCTCAACTACTGACAATAACTGATCTAGGAACTTTTGGGGTAAGCAATACATTTACATGGTCATGGTTATATGTACTTTGAATGTGAAAGGGACCGCTGACCTGAAGGTCGGCAGTTTGAATCCATGGGATGGGGTGAGCTCCCATTGTTAGCCCTAGCTCCTGCCAACCTAGCAGTTTAAAAACATGCAAATGCGAGTAGGTAAATAGGTACCACTTCTGCAGGAAAGGCATAAGACGCTTCAAGCAGTCATGATGGTCACAAGATATTGTTAAATATTACTTGTCTGTGTAACTCTGAAGCTCTATAAAATACTGATGACCGAAATACACATTATCTATCTCAGCCAGTTGTGTGAATAGGTTGGACCGAAAGCGGCACTGGGCTTGGTGGATCCTTTGGCCAACACTATTGCTAGTTGCCCATTTGCCTTCCTGCTTAGTTTCAGGCCTCATCTTAGTTTAGTGACCCAACTAGAAGGGAACATAGGTCTGATATTTCAAATGCTACCCAAAAGGAGGAAGTGAGAGATCCGTGGAAAGACCCAAAGTCCTACTCTTGCCACATTCAAGATTGTTAAATTGTTTACAGTTTACAACAAGAAGCAGAAGGTGGCCCTTAAGGAACTGAGAAGTCCCACACAACTTAAGACATTGCTCCTCAATCTCATAATGGTCTCCCGTCTTCACCTTACTGCTGTCCATGAAGCCGAGCCGGTAGCCATGCTCAAACTGCACATCCTTCTCCTTGTTCTTCTCTTCTTCCTCGTGGTTTGAGTAGAACTCCAGCCTCGTCGCCACGGGCAAGTTGTCAGCAATGCTGCAACAACAACAACAACAAGGCTTTTTGTCAGATCTGCGTGTCCTCTGCCACCCAGTTTGGCTCTGCTGTAAAAAAGAGATGCCAGCTGTTGGAACTCAATTAATGTTGTAGTCCTCATTGAGGACTTAGGCATGTGAGTTCAGCTGGCAGAGAAAAGCCATTCTTCCCCCATTGGCCTCTCTGTCTACCTGTCACTCTGTTCTCTCTTCCTATCATTTATAATAATAAATAATAAACTTTTGTTGAGAGATGATTAGATGTGGACAATTTCTACAGAAAGGAGGAAACCATGAAAATGAACAAAATCTGGCTGCCAGTATTAAAAAACTCTAAAATTACAACAGCAAAACAACAGAGGAACAAACAAGGACATCTAATCACCTCTCAACAAAAGATTGCTCCAGGTACTGTCAGGCCATTATATGCTAATCAAGGTGGTCAGTTGAAACATTCACACCTAGCTCCAGCAGACAAGAGTCCTTTGTCCCACCCTGGTCTTTCCACAGATATATAAACCCTTTTTTCCTAGTTCCAACAGACCTCACTACCTCTGAGGATGCTTGCCATAGATGCAGGCGAAACGTCAGGAGAGAATGCCTCTAGAACATGGCCATATAGCCCGAAAAAACCTACAACAACCCATTATAATGTACTTGGAACTGCATCATGTTTTTTGTTTTATTGCCTGTAACATGTTGTGTGGGCTTGGCCCCATATAAGCCGCTCCGAGTCCCCACTGGAGAGATGGTGGCAGGGTATAAATAAAGATTATTATTATTATTATTATTATTATTATTATTATTGGAAATTACACTCCAACACACATCAGCTGGGAGCCAATTGCTGCCCAGGGCAGGAAGACTCACAGGTGGACGTAGTATTCCTCCTGGATCCGCTCCGCCATCAGCTTGCTCTCTTCCGTCTTCAGGGTGACCTCACACAAGACTTCACACTTCTTCTTGCTATTCATGAAAACCTGGAACGGAGTGTTGACGATCCGGTCCCCACGCAGAACTTCCCCTGTAAGTAACATTGGATGTCATAGGGAGCCCATGGGAGAGGCATGGGGGGGGGGGGGGGGGGGAAACATACACACACCATTTTGAATCTTCTCAACCCTTTTCAGACCATGGCCCTCTTCAGACCTCGTTTCCTTCCTGTGGTCCCCTGCCCTATCATTAGAAAGATGGCTATTCAAGACGTGGAATAAATACAAGGACAGACTAGATACCAAAACTCCATTATGGTTTTCGCCAAACGAGGCTGGTCAAAAGAGAGAAATTCCTAATGAGAGGTGGTTAACCTATAAACAACTACTAAAAAAATAACAACCAAAATGTAAGACTGTCATGAATGACTTTTCAATAACTTTGAAGCATAGGTTCTTTTTATTGCAATTTCCAGTGTGAGAAGGTATATCAGATTACAGAAAAAATATTTAGACAACGAATGACATTAGACATACAGACATACAGATTCTATGCAGCTACATTTGATTTACAATTACATTGGTTAACAAACAAACAAAGGGGAATTACATTTTCACTCAACATTCACACACATGTACACGCATTCATCCACATGCATCCAAATATTACCATATCTTTTCTTCCTCCTTGGAGAAGCACTTGTTAGGCCAGACGCTGATTTCCTGCAGCCTGTCAATGCATAGTTCCAAAACTTTCAAAACGCCGAAATGCCAAAACTTCTTTCCCTAAGAACAGTGCCAAAGACCAGACCTCTGTTTTCCATACAGCAGAACCTGACTCCCTGCACAAAATCTAAGACTCCAAAAGTGCACTTCTTCCTCTTACCTTGAGAAAGAAGCCCCAAAGTGTCCAGAATCATGCTTTCCCATAGCATATCTGACACTCTCTTCCCATGGACAGAGCATAGCAGATGAACCAGACTCCTCAGGTTGGTCACACTTTGAGCATTATTAGATTGAGTCTTTTATAGGAATATTATGCTGATGTAGTCCCAAAGTTGTAATGAATAATAGATGTCTTCCATCCTGGACACATCTCAGTTCCCTCATCAGATGTTGATCTTCTTGATTGGTGTTAACAAAAAGCTTGGGAGTGATCTTGGACTCATTGCTGAGCCTGGAACCCCAGGTCTCGGCGGTGGCCAGGAGAGCTTTTGCACAATTAAAACTTGTGCCAGCTGCTCCTGTACCTTGGGAAGTCTGATTGGCCACATGGTCCACGCTCTTGTTACATCCCGAATAGACTACTGCAACGTGCTCTACGTGGGGTTGCCCTTGAAGACTGTTCGGAAACTTCAACTAGTCCAGCGAGCGGCAGCCAGATTGCTCACTGGAGCGACATACAGGGAGCACACCACCCCCCTGTTATGCCAGCTCCACTGGCTGCCGGTTCAATTCCGAGCACAATTCAAGGTGCTGGTTTTAACCTACAAAACCCTATACGGTTCTGGCCCAGTGTATCTGTCCGATACGGCTCCAGCCCAGCATACCTGTCCGAACACATCTCCTTCTACGTCCCGCCTCGGAGTTTAAGATCTTCTGGGGAGGCCCTGCTCTCGGCCCCACCTCTATCACAAGTGAGATTGGTGGGGACGAGGAGCAGGGCCTTCTCGGTGGTGGCCCCTCACCTGTGGAACTCACTCCCCAGGGAAATAAGGTCATCGACATCCCTCCTCTCCTTTAGAAGGAAATTAAAAACATGGATTTGGTACCAGGCCTTCGGGCAATCTGCCGGATAGATAAGGGACAAGCGACGACTAGAATTGATGGATTGGACAATGTGGAATTTGAATTTACGGACTCTGAGCTGGTAAACGTTGAGCACTAGATTGTTTTTAGGGATTGTGATATATAATGGATTGTTTTAATTGTTTTAATTACTGTTTATATGTTTTATTTTTTTACCTTGTTGTTGTGCCGGCATCGAATTGTGCCTTTTTGTAAGCCGCCCTGAGTCCCCCCTCGGGGGTTGAGAAGGGCGGGGTAGAAGTG